GGCTGCCATTTTGTTCTGTGGATGATGTCCTTTGCTGTACAGAAGCTTTTTAGTTTGATGTAGTCCCACTTTCACTTTGAATTTGTTTCCCTTGCCTGGGGAGATGTGTCCAGAGAAAAATTGCTCATGCTTATGTTCAAGAGATATTTGCCCCTGTTTTCTTCTAAGAGTCTTGTAGTTTCATGTCTTACATTTAGGTCTTTAATCTATTTCAAGTTTGCTTTTGCGTATGGAGTTAGACAGTAATCCAGTTTAATTCTCCTGTATCTAGCTGTCTAATTTTCACAACATCAATTATTGATGAAACTGTCTTTTCCCCATTGTATATTCATGGCTTTTTATCATACATTAATTAACCATATATATGCATGGTTTTATTTCTGAAGCCTCTATTCTGTTCCATTGATCTATGGGTCTGTTCTTGTGCCAGTACCATACTATTTTGATTACTGTGGTTTTGTACTATAACTTGAAGTCAGGGAGTATAATCCCCCAGCTTTGTTCTTTCTTGGGATTGTTTTGGCTCCTTGGTGTCTTTTGTGGTTTCACATGAATTTTAGGATTATTTGCTCTAGTTTATTGAAAAATGTCATTGGTGTTTTGATAGGGATTCAATGCATTGAATATATAAATTGTAATAACATTTTTATGCTAAGCATTTCATAGATTCATTAAAAAGAAATCACCTTTGAAAGATGAAGGTGGTATTAAATATATTTCTCAGCCTAACTCAACATTAATGTCAACACAAATTCAAGAGAGAACTAAATTCAGAAAGTTGTGATTATTTTATTTGAAGTTGATTTGTATATAACATAAAAATAGTCTTTAAAATGCATCAGAGGAAAAGTTTAACATTCTTATAATAATTAAATGTATGTCAATAATCATAAAGCATCTCATCTGTTCACTAGGAGAGACCATGGAGAAGTTTTAAACCATTAAGATCCACTCTACCTTTGTAGGAAAATAAGTGAACTCTCTTTTTCTTAATATTTCACTAGGTCAAACTGGAATTCCTCTAGTTAGCTTTTTAATGAGGTTTCAGAGCACAGGAATTTCTCTTTTTTTAAATTTCTTTAAAATAAAATCACCATTCAGACTCCCCATTTGGTTACTAGAATATCAGTACTAAATAATACACTGTGCCTGAAAAACCTAGCTTTTGCCGACATGTTTTCAGTAAATACTATTAATAGTTTGAATCCACAAAATCTTATCAGCTATTCTCCAAATTCCAAACACATCTCTGCTCTGTAAAACAGGCAAGGGTGGGTTTAGAGGTAAAGAAAGAAAAAAAGGAGGAAGGGAGAAAGGAAGGGAGGGAAGGAGAGAGGGAGGGAGGAAGGAAGGAAGGAAAGAAGGGAGGGAGGGAGGAAAACTGTGAGATTATATGGTGTTCATCCCCTTTAGTTGGCAGGACAAGGCAACACAAAATGCCAGGAGTCAATAATCCAAACAAATCATGGGCCAAGGGAGGGCCTGGGCTGGCTGTAGGTCAGTACTTCGAATTAGTTCTATTCTTACACCACTCCTTTAAAGCTGCTTCTTTGCAGTTTTCAGAAGAAGATGACTTAGGTGGACAGAAAAATTTAGAAGGTAATGAAGTACGTTTAAAAAATGAGAGGCACTCCTGAAGAGAAAATAGAGTACTTCATTGTGATGCTGTCTGAAACATGTATTCATTCAAAGCTAATTTAATTTCACTTAACTTTGAGAATAAAGGTATCCTTTTATTTTTACAGTTCTAGATATTGTTAAATTGCACACTAGAACCAGGGTACTAAAAGGCAACTTTGGTGCAATCAACTTTATTTTCATATGGCAGACTCCCTCCTGGCAGCTGACTTAGTTGTCATGAAGCTATCATAAACTGGAACTCATTTTTTAAAGTTTTATATTCCCTCTGTCCAATTAGGAAATCAAAAGGCAATTCGATTAGATGCACTGGGTAACAGCTGATCTGTCTGGAGGTGCTGATCCGTTTGTAGGCAGGACCCAATTCCCATAACATTGAACTGACCTTTTGCAGCCTCTTCTAAAATAACCGGGGGAGAGGGAACAAGAGGGAGGAGGCCAAAGACTTTTCGTTTTCTGTTGCAACCTGTACCCCATTCCCAAGGCTTTGAATCAAAACCTGATTTCTTTGACTTGATTATGTCCCAGCGATTTGAAGAGCAGGGAGAAAAAGAGATGTCTAAATTTAGTTGTGTTTTTACTTTCCACTTTAGCCTAGAAACAAGATGCAATCTCTTAGAAATACCACCTTCCATGTAAATGGCAGTTTTTCAGGTAAATAAAAAAGATTGAACTTGCTCCAGTCTTTAGGTGTATTTTAAAACTATGTCATATTTATTTTTCTTCCTTCACCGTGCGTTTGTGGGGAGAGGATTGTTTTCCCACCTAAATTCAAGGTTGGTGCTCACTGGCCCAATTCCCTCTGATCCTTTTAACTCCCATGCAGCCAGTAAGTACCCTTATTTAGCTGGAGCGATGTTTTTAAAAACTGTTTCAAGTAAAAGGAGATTGAGAAATGTGAACAGCAAGCAGCCTTAGCAACTGGCACCACATTTCTTCATTTTCATTCCCTTCATTTAAACATTTCTTCAAAGTGTGGGGAATCTCTGCTCCTAAAATCCTTTTCAAAAATACCTCACGTTTTGCTGGGCCTTGTTCTTATTTTCTTCTGAATGTGTGAGAAAATCAAAGTTCTTCTAGTCCCATGGCCAAAGTAAAATTAAAAAAGTCAACGTGAGTGGGTAGAGGGGATAAGAGGTGGCTGCTGGGAGGTGAGCGTGGACGGGAACCGAGCTTCCGAGGCTCGGCTAGACGCGCAATGCGTGCTCGCCTCGCACCGCTTTTCCGCGCAATATCCCCTGCAGCCCCCCACGCTGTCCGGCGCGCTCCGGCCACTGATGCTCACGAAGGAGATGCCCTACCCAAAAGAAGCCACCGTAGAATCGTTTACCCAGAGAAAGGGAAGAGTGTGATCTGCGGAGGCCGCGCCTGCCGCCGGCCATCTGCCGCGCGCGTGGCGGCTGCTTTGACACCCCGGCTCCTGCGGAGGCCTCAAACCGACCCCGGCCGACGCGGAGCGGCCCGCAGCAGCTAGGGTGCGCCACCGCGGCGAGTGAGACTGGGTCTGCGCGCTCACCTCCCGCACCCTGAGGGGTGCCCTGAGAAGGTTGCTGTTGCCCTTCTCTGAAATTCCTAGGGCGGAAGGGTTGGTCTAGGGTGGTGGGATCCAGGATGTGCTGCTTCACCTGTGTTCAGGTGAGCGTCAGAGACTCCAGAAGCCTGCGGGGCTCAACCACTAGGAAGCCCGGCCTCTAAAAGAGGCTCGCGTAAAAGTAGACTAAGGGGTGTATTTATTTATTTCAATTTTCTTTAAAATAGATTACAGCGTGGTTAAAGAAACTCTCCAACCCCTCAGGATGGCTCATCATTTATAAGCCAAATTGGAGACATGGAGCCATTACACCCAGTTTATATTTCGGGCAAAACCAAAACGGCAACCCTGAAACAATTTGTATTAAAATATTCACATAATATAAAATATCATGTTTTGAAATATTAAAACATATCTTTAAGGGTGCGTGAGTTTGCAATTATACAGCCTGAGAATCGGTACCAGATTTTTGTTGGATTTGAACCGGGGGAATAACTTGGCTTGAATCAATAATCCACGCCCCCTCTGCCTTGGATCTGGGTTCTCAGTGCCCTCAACCTCCGCCCCTGCCGACCCACAAGTGTGGCCAACCACTGTTCCCAGCCATTCAGAGAGCCTTGTCTCCATTCATTTCTAAGCCTGTAAGAGGGAGGACTCCACTGTTGCACCCCCTTCTCCAAGGAGCTAGTTGGGGTTGGGGGGGTGACTGGAGAGGATGGAGAGTGTCGCGGGAAGCCTGGCGGCGCCGGGAAAGTTCTAGAGCTAGAAAAATAAAGGCAGTGCACGTTTCACAGCTGAAGTGTATCCTCTTTCACCTCTCTAAAAATCAAGCAAAATCGCGGCGGTGTATTACCAGCTGAAAAGTCAGTAAAAGCCTCTCTGGCTTCCCTGAAGTTCTTAGAATCACTCCTCTTGCAGCCAACGAGTCCTTTTCCCAAAACGTTGGCGCAACTTTAAAGGACGCGCGCGGCCAAGGAGCCCCGAGGAAGCCGGGGGCTGGGTAGGGCCTCCTGGACTCGTCGAAAACCACTGACGCCGGGAGGAGCCAGAAGCGGGGCTCGAACTACGCGAATGGAGCGGGTTCGGGTGGAGTACTTCAAAGTGAATGGGGCAGGATCGAAGTCTAGAAATGCAGAAGGAACTGCACTGCGGAATCCAGGTGCGGAAACTGGCGGCGGGAGGACAGGGTGGCAGGCGCAAAGTAGGTGCAGCCCAGACAGCGGTTACAAGCTACAGCCACTGCCATTTCCCCGCAGAGGGAGTTCCGCGCGCGGCCCGAGTCCTCCGACTCCGACAGCGTGTCCGCGACGTCCCGGATCTCAGGGAGGGATTTCTGGGGAATAGCACCGTCCTTTCCCGCACATCCCCCAGAGCCGAGAGCAGAGACTCTGCCCCATCTCGCCGTCCTTGGACGCAAACCCTCAACTCTCCAAAGTGAGGCCGGGGCTGTCCCACAAGACCTTTCCCCACCACGCCCCAAATTTCATTCTCCCTCCCAGAGCAAGACCCCCACTAACTCCCTACGCCATAGATCTCTTGTCTGTCTCTCTGTCTCTGTCTCGATCTCACTTTTAACCTGGGACTCCCTGTTTCTCTGGGTGCGAAGCCCCAGGGCTCACGCGGGGACTGTGCAGTTCGCCGCCCCTTTGGCCACTGTCTCGTGGGCGGTTTCCGATAGCTGGGGAAACCGACCGGCAGCCCCTCCGGCCCTCCGCCCGCGCGCCCCCGGTCCCCGCCCCTCGGCGCCCCCACCCCCTCCGCGGCCCCGGAATGGCGTCAGCACGCCCGCCGGGCGTGGGGTTTAAATGCCCACTAGCGGGAGCCCGGGCGCCCCGGTCCCTGAGCGCAGTCCGGGCTGGACCTGCGGGGGTTGGGGGGAGCGTGCGAGCGGGAGCCCGAGCCGCGGAGCGCGCTGCCCTGCTTCGTCGCCGATGACTCGGGAAGTCGCGACCCAGCGCCCCCCATGCAGGCCCCCTGCGCTCTGCAGACTCAGAGTTGATAATAATACACCTACCCGACTCCGCTGCGGGGAGCCATGAGCTGTCTGGATGTTATGTACCAAGTCTATGGTCCTCCCCAGCCTTACTTCGCAGCCGCCTACACCCCTTACCACCAGGTACGTGTCTCCCCCGCCCGGGTCCTCGGAGAGGACGGTCGCCACCGGTCCGAGCACCGCCTGTGCCCGAGGTCCGCGGCGCCTTCGCGCTCGGCGCGAGCGTCAGGCCCACGGGCGCCGCCGGGATGCGGGAACAGCGGCGCTGCCACTCGGTGGGTTGAGCTGACCCCTTTACCTTGTCCATTTACTCTCGGGACGGCAGCTAAAGCCCTGCCAATGCGTGCTCCGTCCTTTCCGGGAATTAACAGACGAGGGTCGCACGGGCTGGATTGTCTTCTTAGAGTCTGTCGGACTCCAGATTCTTCCGTGCGGGTGCAGGGAGATGAGAGCAAAGGTCACTCAGGGAAAATCAAACTCCCATCTGAGCGGTGACAAAACAAAAGCTAAGGCCTGTCTCTTCCCGTCTGAGATGGAAAGACACTCGTTCTCATCCATGCAAGCTTATCTCAGGAATACTTTTTTTTCCGTTTCAATTCTCAGACGATAAGACCAATTAATTCCAGAACCAGCGAATTCATTACAAAAGAACAGCGCGAAAAGCACAGGTTTTATAATCTTTTTGCAAAGTTCTGGGAAGTATTACTGGGGCACAACAGACGCTGCAGAGGCGAGCGTCAAAGATAATATTTCGCCTTTCTGGAACCTGCATGGAATAGGGCAGCCCTGACTTCAAAAAATCAATTTTTAAGAAAGGCCACTTAACGCTGGTTCTGCAAGCTCTTAAGTTTTGTTTCATTATTCCGATTTCTTTTTTCTCCGTGCTGTGTCTGGTAGGCCGGTTTTTCTTTCCATTTCCTCAACTGATGTAGTAGAGACTGAGGACAGTAGTCCAAGAAAAGAACAAGATCACACACCTAGTGGGTCTGCAACTCTGGAGCAGGTTCCAAAGTGAGGACCTGGACTCCTTCTTTGGGGAGAATGAAATATATCGCAAGGCCAAGTCCATGCTTCTGCCAATTTTGCTTGTAAATTCGGAATGGCTATTGAAAAATTTCCTGATGAATTAATGGTGGAATGAATAAGGTTTATTTTTTGCTCTTTTTCCTCCTCCTCCCCTTTTTAAACTTTCCAACCAAGAGTTTGTTTAGTCTCTATGTTGATTTTAGGAATCACCAGTTTCTCCTTGTAAGCCGAATGGGAATGTGGTAGAAGTGGTGGTATTGCTAAATAGCTACAGTCTTTTGGTGTCATTGTCTGAGATAAGCTCCTTCTCAGGCTGGGACTACTGCAAAGAGGAGAGATAGGTTGTTTTGTTTTGTTTTTTTTTGTCTGCTCATTTCTACTGCCTAACCCTGGCTGATTTTTGCATTAAGATTTCTGTTCATTTTTGTATGCTCCACCAGGTTTCAAGGCCATCTTTGTCTGTATAATGCTTTAACACTGCATTCAGTCCATTGCTCAAGAAGCCAAGATCTTCTTCTGATACTCCTTTTTGTTACTTGTTTCCTCACTATGCATATAGATAGTGAGGGTAGAAATGTGTATAGCTCCCTAGTTTTTCCTTACTCAAAAGAAGATCCCTTTAAAAACTGAGACAATTTTTAAACGGACAGTTTATGTGCTACCAATTATCAACTTGTGCTCATTAAAATAATCCATGTCATGATGCTATTCCACATTTTTATCCCATATGATTCTTCCCTAAACAGAACTGTTTCATACGTTCTGCAGCAGTTCTTCCTTTACTTTCCTGGCTGTGCGGAGTGGATTTTCATATTTTCCTGTTCCATTCTGAAGATGCTTAATCTTGCATCTTGTGTTTGGGTTCACAGGCAGGGGACAGTCAGGCAATAACGGGAATTGGGTTCTCTTTCCCCATGGAGACTGATTTTTAAAATACATCTTCCCTGAACCTGGCTCTGCAGTGAAACTCAGCTCAAAACCTAGCTGCTTAGGCATCTTCTGGAACCTTCACCCTGACACCTTCAGAGAGCTGCTTCAGTTGTCGGCAGCAATTCTGGAGAGATACAGCCACTGAGACGGGCAGTCTGCCTCTCAGGAATCCCACCCTGGTTCAGCTGCAGGATGGAGGCCTGCTGACTGTGTGCCCTACGTTACTGAGCACTGGGCTCAGGTATAGGTGCCAGTTTTCCCCTGGAAACTTTAGGGATCCAGATGAGGGAATGCAGTCTGAATCCAATTTGTCATCTCTTTTGAAACTGACTTCTCTTTCTTTCTTTGAGCAGAAAATAGCCTATTACCCAAAAATGCAAGAAGCCCAGGAGTGTGACGCCAGCCCCAGTGACAGCAGTGGCAGCCGCAGCTCTTTTTCCAGCCAAACACCGGCCAGTATAAAAGAGGAAGAAGGCAGTCCAGAGAAAGAGCGCCCTCCAGAGGCTGAGTACATCAACTCCCGCTGCGTCCTGTTCACCTATTTCCAGGGGGACATCAGCTCTGTGGTGGACGAGCACTTCAGCAGGGCCCTGAGCCAGCCTAGCAGCTATTCCCCAAGCTGTACAAGCAGCAAGACACCGAGGAGCTCCGGGCCCTGGCGGGGTGAGTACAGGGCCTCGCTGGTAAGGGCAGCCAGCCTGGGGGCCAACTACAGGAGCTCCAGGAGATGCGGCTGAAAGAATAGCAGGTGTTAGAGAAGAGGTGAGAAGGGCCTCTTGGGGTGGGTAGGGAAATGAAGGAGGAAAGAGCACTTGCATGAGCCCTCTCCTTGAAACAGCAGAATAGAGCAGTGACCTAGGAAAACAATAGCCTTGACATTGAGAGACCTAGGTTTTCATGTCGGCTTTACCACTTCATAGCAATATGACCTTAGACAAGTCTCTTAACCTCTTTGAGGTCACTCTATTTACCAGTCTCTAAAATTAGAATAATACTTGCCCTCTTAACTATCCTTGGAGATGGCTGTAAGACAAACAGGAAAATGTATGTAAATATTCTGTAGAAATGTGAGGTTTCCCACACTCTCCCACACCAGCGGAGGAGAGGACCTTCACCTACAACAGCTTACAGGGTCCTTACCCACTTTCTGAAAATTTGCCCAAAGGAGAAAATCCTAGACCCCCCCTCTGCAAACAAAACTGCTGTAGAATGTCTCCCAAAATCTACCAATGCCTTTTGCCAGGTTTCATTCACTTGGGAAATATTGAAGCAAAAAATGTATTTCAATAAGCAAGTAAAGTACCAAAGAAATAAAAACATAGGTACAACCAAAGTCTTTCTAAGGGCTTTCCCCAAACACAGCCCCTTTTTATTGTTCAACCTTGTCACAAAGCACTCCTTTACGTATTTTGGGACAAGGATTTCTTGGACAAGTCAACTAAATCTCCATTCCATTCTGAAACCTCAACTTCCCTTAATTTCCAAGACAACGGTGGGTATAACTGCTTGGTAAACTTTCTCACTAAACTTAGTTTGTGGTGTGTCCCAAGCTGTGAAATGAGGATAGCTATAAAAAGGAAATCATACTATATTGAGGGGTAATAGCACCCTTCACACTCCCTTTTTTTCCTCAGAGAGTCTGACAGTTTGTTCAAGCCTTTTGCCTAGACAAGAGGCAAAAACGTTAGTTTTGAATATATTAATATTCTTTGTATTCTCCAGTTGCCTAAATATTTCTAACAGTAAGACTGTTGACTACTTAGAATGCATTGTCAAGGCATTTTCAATTCTCTACTATGCAGTACAGATGCCTTCCCCAGAAGGGGATCCTCAATAAAGGTCCCTTGAGTTAAATGTCTTTCTTACCCCTTTTCCCCACTAAAGGCAAATTTGATCTAAATGCTGTTCTCTTAAAGTATTTCAGGCACTAGGGGGTCAACGATGATACTGACAATAATAGTAATTATTATTCCTGGCATCCACACTTTAATGCAGTTTATTAATTGAAAGTTAAAAGGCCTTTTCCTCACGTCCTTCTGTGCAACTAACACAGCTGCCCTTTCAATATGTCTAGTTTACTTGTTTGCTTTCGTTCTCGGGGAAAAAAAAAATATTCGAATGAAGGTTTCTAGAAAGGAGGCTAATAATAGCAAGATTTGGAAATATGTCGATGGACTTCCAGTCTATCGTAGGCCTTTGGTGGGGGGGTACATTTTCTGGAGCAAGGAGGCTGCAAAGCGAGAATGGGTAGTAAGATCGCTAGGAGGCCAAGGGTGGGACGTGGTATCTTTGAAGGCAAGGCTGCGGGCTGAAAGGGACGCCGTGTCTGCCCCAAGGAGGCAACCGAGGCAGCTCAGCCTCAAGTAGAAGAGAGCTCCCTGCTTCCCCAAACTGGGCAGATGCTTCTCTCTTCCTTTTCCGTATTGAAGAAGCGTCTGCAAAATCCGAGGAAGCGGCCCTCCCTCCCAAGGGGTTCCCCCATTTTGCGAGGCTTGGGCCTCTCATTCAGTCTGCAGCTTCCTCAGAGAGGTGCCGCCGCAGAGGCCAGGCTCCGAGCCGCGGTTTGCCAGCCCTTCGGCCGCCCGGCACGCCCAGCTCACCCTCTGTGCAGGCTCGGCGCTCGCGTCTCCCTGCGGTGACGCGCTCCTCTCTTCTTTCCTCCCCGCCGCCTCGCCGGCTGCAGACGGCTCCTTCCCAATGAGCCAGCGCAGCTTCCCCGCCTCTTTCTGGAACAGCGCGTACCAGGCGCCCGTGCCCGCGCCGCTGGGCAGCCCGCTGGCCGCCGCGCACTCGGAGCTGCCCTTTGCCGCCGCCGACCCTTACTCTCCGGCCGCGCTGCACAGTCACCTGCACCAGGGCGCGGCGGAGCCCTGGCACCACGCACACCCGCACCACGCGCACCCCCACCATCCCTACGCGCTGGGCGGCGCCCTCGGTGCCCAGGCCGCCGCCTACCCGCGGCCCGCCGCGGTGCACGAGGTCTACGCACCGCACTTCGACCCGCGCTATGGGCCTCTGCTGATGCCCGCCGCCTCCGCGCGCCCTGCCCGCCTCGCTCCCGCCCCGGCGCCCGCGCCCAGCAGCCCGTCCTGCGAGCTCTCCGGCAAGGGCGAGCCGACCGGCGCCGCTTGGGGCGCGCCCGGGGGACCTTTCGCGAGCCCCGCGGGAGACGTGGCCCAGGGCCTGGGCCTCAGCGTGGACTCAGGTAAGAGGGAGAGGGCGCTTGGCCTCCGCTGGCCCCTTCTGCCCTATGACCGACCCTGGACTGAGCCCCCGGCCCCTGTCAGTTCTCCTTGGAGCCCCCGGTAACCCTTCTCCCAAAGGTCTGTGTGCGGGGTTGTGTTTGAGCAGAAAGACGACCCACATCGGTGTTGGCAGAATGAGAAAGTAATACCTGCTCTAACATGGCTAGTAAATATTACAGAAGATCTTTTTAAAAATAAAATTTATTGGAAATGTTCTAGTTCTGCGCTGTTCAATTCTGTAGCCACTTAGCCACATGTAGCTTTTGAACACTTGAAATGTGGCTGGGCCAAAGAAGTGTGATGTAAGCGTGTAATGCACATCGGATTTCAAAACTTTCTACCAAAAAAGAATGTAAATTTCTCTCCCTAATATTTTTATATTGATTGCATATTGAAATATTTTCAGCTCACTGAATACTGAATATATTGAGTTAAATAAAATATATTACTAAGACTGCTTCTCACCTGTTTTTTCTTACTTTTCAAAGTGGCTGTTAGAGAATGTAAAATTATGCCTGTGGTTTTATTGGACAGCGCTGTTCTAGAGTACCTGCTAAGAGAGTAGTTTAAAATCCTCTATAGCCTGGGGAGCTGGGGCGGAGGGGGGGCGGTTACGTCACCTAGTGACAGTCTTAAAGAAAAATACGACTGATACCAGCTTAATTGCCTAATTAAATAGGTCTCCTCAAAACGTAAAAATTAACGAGAATAAGATGTTCATGATAATATCAAGCTTCTAGCTTACGGAGTTGAATTTGAAAGGTACAATTAAATATGCATTTACTCTTTTGCTTGCTTTATTTTGTGGGCAAATAAAAAAAATGGTTATAGTATAAATACGGTCGTTAGCCCGTAGTCTTGCCTGCTCCCGTTTCCCTCAGGCGGAGATGTGACATTTATGCTCTTTGCTTTTACTCTCATTCATGCCCTTTAGATGAATTCTGTGACTTACACAATGAAGAGTCATGTTTTTCTCTTTCCTTAAATCTTATGCCTTCCCTCTCCCTATCCCTTCTCTCTCCTCCTCTCTCTCCCTCTTTCTCTCTCCCTCTTTCTCTCTCTCCCTTTCTCCCCTCTCCCCCATCTCTCTCTCTCTCCCTCCCTCCTCCCCCACCCCTCTCTTATTTTCTTTCTGCTTTCAGGTTTGCAGCCTCGGGACAAAAGCAAGGATCTGTGCTGGTGTTAGACAGCCCACCTTCTTCCCTGTAGGTCTCTGCATAGCACCATTGGTGACACTCAGAGCCAAAAGCGAGTGGGTTTGTAACAGCTTCTGATCTTGGTTTGCAGCTCGCCGTTATTCCCTCTGTGGTGCATCCCTCCTGAGCTGATCTGCTGACCCAGGGTTTCCCCTTCCCTTTCCCTTCTGACCAGCCACGGAGGCTCAGCACCTGTGCCTCTCACTTCATGGATGAGGACGTTGGGGAAGGCAGAGACTTCAAACTTCTCCGTGAATTGGGAAAACCAAAACACACATCTACAGAAATTTTGTCTAAAAATAATTCCTTCTGCCATAAGAGCAGATCCAGACTCTGAATTATGTGTAATGACTTTTGAGGAGATCACTGGAAATATCTATGGTAAGCTCACTTAGGTGGTATGGTGTCATAAGTTTTCTTGGAAAGCGAAAGAAAATGAGACATTTTGGTGTGAATATTTTTTATGCTGATGTGAATTATTTCATTAAGTAGTGTGATCATAGCACTACAGATGTCAATATCCTCAGATTTAAAATGTATTTGTATTTGCATTGAAGACTGTGGTAGAGAAATAAAAAGAAACCACGTCCTGCTTCCTCATCTCGTGTAGCCTGCAGCTCCCATCCTGCCTACATAGCCCCTCCCTAGAGCACCCACGGCAGACACAAAGACACACTTTTTCCTTTGGACTGTGAACATGGAAGCCCCAGCCTGAATGTGAGTGGCAAGTGGCTTATCTGGAGCCGCCTGCCCAAGTCTTACTGAAATGCAGCTGTTGTAGGACAACTGTTCAAAGCTCCAGAAATACATCGACCAAGGTGGCACTTCCCAGTGTTTGGTACAACAATTGCAATTGCACTGGATATATTTTATATATGTGTGTGTGTTTATATATATATATATCATATTTTTTACAAGGAACATTTATGATGAAAGAAAAAACCCTTCTCTGCCTTCTCTCCCACTAATTCTGTTCCTCCCTCCCTCCCTCCTCCTCTGGTGAAAAAAAGCAACAAGAGACCCCAACTGTCTCCTTGAAGAGGGAGGAATCATCACAAAAAGCAGAAATGTCCATAGAGTCTCCAATACCTCGATTTTTTCTGTCTATGGTCATGATTTGGTCACTTGAGTGTTGGGACAGGGAGAGGGGTCTGTTCATGGGCAAAGCTGAAGGCGATGAGGAAAAAGAAATGAACATTAAAGGTGTCTGTTTACTACAAGGTTGCTGTGTTGTTTCATCAAAAAAATAATAAACATCGTAGTTTTTCACCAGTAGAATAATTTATANATATATATATATATAGTGCTTTTGTTTTTCCCAAGTGTTTGTAATGCTGTGAAACCTGTTAACCTTTTTCCCCTTTCTTGGAGGTGAGAAGTTAGGTATCCCTACTCTGTTTTACAGATGAGGAAATTGTGGCTCTTAGAAGCTCCAAGCTTACCTGTTTGCATTCACTGAATTAAAAGCAGAGATAGTACAGAATGCACTACTTGTACACCATCCAGTCAGGTACATAGTTATTATTCCCCAGAAGAGAATTAATGTTACTCCTTAAATTCTAGATTGTTAAGACAGGAGAGTTGTCAGTTACAAATGTTTTTGAAATACTGGTTATTTTATGTTTTAATAAGCTAGGCTAAGAAACCAAATGTACCAATAGGCAAAAAAAAAAAAAAATGAAGAAGAAGAAAGAAGGGAGAGAGGGACAGAGGCAGGAAGGAATTCGTGGTTTTTATTTTCTTTTGACATCAGTTATTTGTGTTGTCACTAAAGTGCCTGAGAAGTATTTTGTGTTCAAATTGCCCTGGTAGATTGTTTAATCATAAAAATAGTAGTTCAAATGTTGACTTACATTATAACATGTGAAGCAAATAAAATTTATTTGTATTTGAATAAAGAGTTGAACACAGTGCAGGGACACTTCTCAGAGCACATGGCTGAGCAGAGCTGCTCATCCCCTATCTTTGTGGTAGCTGTGAAGCAAATTATAGTCCTTTCAAGAAACAATTACTATTTTTGCTCAGATGAAAGGTATATATGGTTATGCTGCACCAAATGTGATAACAACAATAATAACTAATGTTAATTGTTTATCAGGCACTGGTCTGAGGGCTTTATATGTAAATTAACTCATTTAAGCTTCACAAGAATTCTGTGTGGTAGTTGTTATTGTGATCCTCTTACTGATGAGAAAACTGAGGCTTACAAATGAGAAAAAATTTGCCCAGTCACAAGAAGTGGCAGAGATCGGCAGCCTTGGTACAGAGCACTGGTACCCACTGTAGTAACTGCCTGTCCACTGTTGATTTGTGTCCTCACCAACAGAATAAGGCAGTGAAGACTGGATTTACAGAATCCCAGATCTCAAGGAACATTATCCAAATAGGACATTATCCAAACTCCTTCCTCAAATGACACTACCACCTGTAGACCATTCAGGCAGGTGCAGATTTCCATTCTTCTCCAAGAAGGAATTATTATTGCTTCTTTAATTAATTCATTTCAATATCTAACAGACATCACTGCCCTGAAGCTCTTCACACCCAACCTGACCAAGTATAAGAGTTAGCCTGAAGTTGGAGCAATGAAGCAGTAACTAAAATTACCTTCGGACTTCTCTGTGGATTTTTTAAATCCATGGTATATGCAAGCATAAATAAGATGAATTAAATTCCAGCGCACTTTTTAGAATTGGTCAGAGTGCGCAGATGAAGAGAAAGCACACCTGGTGCACTCTCTGCTGGACATGCCTCTGAGTGGTCCCCACCCAGACAGCTCCTCACCTGTGCTCCACCAGTGCTGGCACTCACCAGACCTCTGACAGAATCCACACGGAGCATTTTTCCAGCCACGAGGGTCTGACTACTGAAAGCTTTCTCCTAAGCTTCATCTAACCTGAATATCAGGTTGCTGGCGAGGAGCCTCATTCAAGGGAACAGTCTGGGGCAGTCCTGAACAGCCCCTCTGGATGCTGAGCTGGGCTCCAGCAACCTGACAGAGGACGCAGGGAGCAGAGCAGTTCCCTCCATGTTACATGTTTCCAAAGTAGAAACGCAAGATGACCTAACTCTAATGATTTAATTCTGTGTACTAAAGGCATCAAAAGAACTTTGGTAAGTTATTAGCCCTTTTGACATTCGTTAGGCCCACTAAGTCATGCAAAACATGGATTTCCGTGCCTGCTTTGCCAGTATTTGTGAGATCATGCAAGTTAGAGAAGCCCAGGTAGTTGAAAAAAGGACATTAAGGAAATGAGGGATGACATGAGAAAAGGCAGACATGACATTTTTGCCTGTATTATTCTTGATTGGGGCCCTGAAAGGAAGATAAAAGTCTCCTGTAACCATCCCTGTTGGCTCTGGTGTCCTCATGTAGTTTTCCGGCGTGCACCTCTCCCTGCTGAGATGAAAACGGTGATGAAAACGGGAGAGACAGCTCTCTGCCACCAAGTGATCCTTTTGCTGATTGTCCTATGGCTGAGAACTCAGTCACCCAACTACAGGGAACTCTATCTGTTCTGTTCCTTCAGTTTAAAAGGAGTTGCCATCCTCTCTCATTTCCCCTTTGAAGTTCTATTTCAATGCATGACAAATTCTAGCAATGATTTAAGATTGATTCGGGCCTAGATGGGAAGGAGGGCATAGATGGTGGGTGTTAGGACTTAGACTTCCTGACTGGAAGCTTCTCTTTGCCACTTTTTCCTGGTAAGTACTGCATTTTCTGTGCCCTTTTGCATGGTGGGGGGGAGGGGCGAGGGGGAACAACTCCTTAAGGTAATTTTAACTTCTAATTTGCTTAGAATTACACACCTTGCATTTATGTATAGGCACCCATACATCTTCTATCAAAACAAGTCCTTTTTTTAAGGACTTAATGATTGATTGCTTGGGAGTTAGAGGAGGTAAAGATAATAAATAAAACAGACTAACTGCTTTCCATATAAATGCCATTTTCATAAGTTGCATTTTTAAATGTAATTCCTAAAGTATCAAAGTATGGAAGAAAAATTGAAAGATACCTGAAAAGACTAAAAATAAATGAAACCAAAAAGCATAAGATTCCTTTATAAAATTGCTTTAATAGTCTGTTAATTTGCATGCAAATAATTCACATTTTGATTGTACTTGTCAAAGTCTTTGAACTATATATATATTCCATTCTTCTTTGCAAGATATTTAAGACTTACTATTCATTATATTTTATATATTCCTAAAACCTGGGGTAAAGGAATTAACATCCAAAAGGCAGTATCATTATTACAGTTGCTGTTTGTATATAACTAAAGTTTTGACATTCACACAAGCAACAAGGTAAAACAAAAATAAATTTCAAATGCCCTAAACATCAGCTCTCCCTCATCTCCCATGAATAAATGAAACCTAATAATACAAATCTGGTATCTGCACATATAATCTATCTACAAAAATCACACACACACACATGCACACACACACTCCACACACTCTCTCTCATACACACATGGATTCAAGCCTGAAGAGAAGTCAGAAACACCATGCCCTCAGACAGGCACAGACACAAATGATTATTGTCACTTGACAGACCAACTGTACCTCTCTTTCCTTGTATTTCACTCCAACCCCAGAGAGCTGGATCGGGAAAGAGACACTTGATAGCTACTGTTTCCGTTGGTTGAAATATTTGTGAAGTTAACGCATAATCTGAAAGCAGAAGCTAATAAATTATAGGGTGCTAATTGGAGCTGGAATGGAGCTGTCAATCATGTTATTCTAAACACTTGAGAGACCCTCATAACCTAAAAAGGCAAGGTGGCCTTCAGGAAGAGCTCCCAGTTGTTTGCAGCCTTGACCTCCCCTCCAGCAGAAACACCGAGTCCGGGGAGAGTGGCTTCTGGCAGAGTCAGCAGAGGTGAATCTGCTAATCCAAATTCATTTTAAGAGGGTAGACAAATTCTCTTTTAGGGGGATAGAGTAAAGTATTGTAGTGAAGAATCAGTGTTTAGAGAAACACACTGTTTAAAGAAAGATATATATTGAATTTACTAGAATAATTATTATTTTGGTAGAACATTACCCCTTATTTGGAATTTTTCACTTTAAAGAACAAGTTTAACTCAATAAGAGAAACATCTAAATTCTGCAATATAGTGTCATGTCTACCTCAAGTTACAGTATTTCTGTGAGTTTTCCAATGTACTCTCATGGAACTAAGCTCCTCTAAAATAAAAATAAGACATCCAAATCCCTTTGCATTACTGGAATTCATTTATTTCACTTTAAAAAGCATCAGCAGCATCTGCCCTATTCCTTGTATTCTGACAATCTCCTACTAAGCCTTGGTTCTTATCTCCCAGTGTTTCAAAATGACTAAAGTGATGTCACTCAAACTATCCTCCTCTGTCCTCATTATTTCCATTTCCTGTCAAAACTGTGCAAATTAATAAATATATAATTATCATTGTATATGAGAAATTTTAAAGTAAACTAAACTTTGGAAAACTAAAGAATTAAATTTTTAAATTCCTAATCAATATTTAGATGACTCTGTAGTTACCAATTAAAAATTTTTACCAACTTTTATTTATGGAGTACATTAGTCTCTGTGTTTTTGCAACTAGTAAATACTTATATATTTATTTTATAATTTGTAAGCTTCTTTAGAATACTTCAAATAAAATAGTTTTCACTAAGGAAAAGCAAATCAATTCTCTTAAAATTCTAAACACACAGTTGCTCAAACCAACAATTATAATTGTTTGGAATGTCATGAGCTTATTTCTTCTCGTGCTAATTGTCATTACTATGGCTTTGCCCTTATTTTTGGCAACCACATAATCAGCCTGGTCCTAATAATTATATTATCAAGAAATAGGATGAAAAAACAAAGCAAAAAAAATATTTTTGTTATTCCTGTTTGTTTTTACTAGGTACAACCCTATTTCTTTTTGTTTCTAGCACATTTTATTCAAGGTGTAATCCATCCCAGAAAACAATTAAATATTTTTCCTCTCATATGACTTTTTTTTTTCATGGTACCTCTTTTTTTTATGGGATTTGCTGATACCTCTGGAAGCACTGCTAAAAGTTCTGTGTTATTGTACTCCATCCTGCTTTCTGGAGTGTGAAATCCTGTTTCTACTTCAGACAGTTTCTCTTGCACACACAGAAACTGACAGAATGGCTTTGACAGACAGATTTTGGTAAGAAACATAGAAAACAGCTTATGACATCTGTTCTTCCTTGTTCAAAGGCTTCTTCTAAAAACACATTCTTTAGTCGTACTTTTTT